AGAGAGAGAGAGAGAGAGAGAGAGAGAGAGAGAGAGAGAGAGAGAGAGAGAGAGAGAGAGAGAGAGAGAGAGAGAGGGAGAGAGAGAGAGAGAGAGAGAGAGAGAGAGAGAGAGAGAGAGAGAGAGAGAGAGAGAGAGAGAGAGAAGAGAGAGAGAGAGAGAGAGAGAGAGAGAGAGAGAGAGAGAGAGAGAGAGAGAGAGAGAGAGAGAGAAGAGAGAGAGAGAGAGAGAGAGAGAGAGAGAGAGAGAGAGAGAGAGAGAGAGAGAGAGAGAGAGAGAGAGAGAGAGAGAGAGAGAGAGAGAGAGAGAGAGAGAGAGAGAGAGAGAGAGAGAGAGAGGAGAGAGAGAGAGAGAGAGAGAGAGAGAGAGAGAGAGAGAGAGAGAGAGAGCAGCTCGTAAAATCGAGGTTTTAAAAGAAAAAACACGGATTAGCCCTGTCGGCCACTGAAATTCAAACACGTGAAATCTTTTGGGCGCTGCAAATGCAAAACCGACTCGGCTGCGTGCATTCACGTGCTGGAAGAGAAGCTGCTGTCGGACCACGAGGAGCACGCTCAGCCGGCTTCATTTTCCAGCAGGACGCCGCCTTTGCACTACTGACTGGTACAACCGCGACTCCAGAGCTCCTAGCTAGACGCTACCGCCACGACAAAAAGACGGGTGACCACCACGCTGCCCTGCCCTAAACCCTCAGGAGGCTAAGGGAGTCCCCTGACTGCGTCTGGAATGCGCTGTCGGAGAAAGAGTACTGGTCCTGCCACCAGAAGCTCCTCATTCTGGGTGGGGCTGAAGGAGGCCACCCTGGTTGCGTGGGAGATGTTGCCACCCGCCAGTGGAAGCAGGGGGAAATGCTGCGGTTCAGACTATGTTCGTTCAATCGTCCACGTGTTCCAGTAAAAAACCTACAAAAACTGCAGATACGTGTATTTTCGTGGACTGATTTGGCGAATAAATCGACCGACTACGCTGAAAATCAGCAGCCTTGCCGCAGCCAGCAGCCTGTAGATTATGCTGGTATACAATATTCAACGCTCAAGCTATTAAAAAATATAACCTACAATAGGAACCATTTTGGGGGATCACTCGGTAAGGACCGGGTGGCACGACACACGCACACACACACACACACACACATACGCACACGCACGCACACGCACACACACACACACACACACATATATATATATATATATATATATATATATATATATATATATATATATATATATATATACATATATATATGATATAGCCAATCCACGCGCGCTCTTAGAAGCTGAACGGTGTGCCATCGGTCAAACGTGCCTCAGCGGAGGCATCCCGTTTATATTCCTAGCGTTCGGCGGCACTCGGTATTACAAGCAAGCAACGCACACGCGCCCACAGGCATGCACGATTTGTGCACGGCATGTTCGAAAGTTGACATTTTGAACATACCTGTCCTATGTGGCCAAACCTCGCCGTGCCTTTGACGGCCATCTGCTGAGCTCTCACGCCTCACAGTGCAACAGTGCAATATCATGTGCAGTTGTCCACTCCAGGTGCTCCGTGACTCGGCGTCGCACGACGGCGTCCGTGTCTGCTCGACACTGGGCGGATCGGCTACTTCACATCTCTGAACTGGCGTTGGACATGTGTGGTACTCGGGACGCCTATACGCCACGTACCTCTAAGACACACAGGAACCGGTCCCGGCACAGGATTCCCCCCTCATGCTCTTCTACCCGCTGCGCTCAGGTCGGCAAAGTCGCTGCTCGACGACACCCGGCTGTTTTGAGGTAGCCCCCGCACCCATTACCACTCAGCAGTCGCCCCGATCCGTCCGCCCCGGCCCCGGCCCGGGCCGCGCCTCTGTTTATGTTTCTGCAGCGTCTCTGCACCAGCGGCGTCTCGTCTCGCCGCAGGGCAGCAGCCGCCAGCGGCGTCCGTTTCCTTTGCCCTTCATGTGACCTCTCCCGCCGAGTTGGCTCGGTTTCAGAACGCCCGCCGGGTCTGGTTTCGTCCGCGTGCTTCAGCATCCGTTGTCGTGGCAACGCGGTCACATGACCGGCGCGCGCCGCGTCGACGGCGCCGATTGGTGGGCGGAGCCGGGCGCGGCGGCGGCGCGGCTGGGGGGCAGACGTGCGATATGCGCCGGTCGATAGCGGGGTGCCGGCGACTACATCGGCGGCATTGGCAACGACCCCTCGTCCGTCCACGGTGAGTTCAACTCGTCCAGCTCTCTGGCCCATGTTGTTTTTGAGCTGCGTGATTTGCCCACTGTGAGGCGTTGCAGTCTAATTCCCTGGGACTGGTGTTTCAATGGCGTTCGTCAGTAGCGGTCAGCGCTGTGTGGCCTGGGGGGTATGTGGGAGTACGGACGGCTGCGGTCGTCCTCAGCAGTGCAGGAGAATGAGGCGTTGCCATCGCCATGTGTGGACATTGCGTTTTTACTTCGACAGTCACTGCGTTTGTACTGCAGTTGTTATCGGTAGTGTGTAAATGCCCTTTCATGTCGTTTTGACGCTCGAGGTCTGTTGGTCTAAGTGCTCTGCTATACCTTCTTGCCCAGTCAAATGAACGTGCCATTTTTTCTTGAAAATTGATTAAAAAATTGATTATTTCCGTGCCTCGTGATAGGCGTAATAATGCTCGGAAAGTGGGTGTGCCATGGCCCTCATGTGCCCCCCATCCCCCGTTCCTGCGCCTATGCCTATGTGCACTCAGTTTTCTTCCTGGAACACTTGAGGGAACCTAATTTGTCTAACATTCTTCCGTTCTCCTGTAAACCAATTTCTGCCGTACTGTTCGCACTGGGCATTGGGGACATCTAAAGCTGTGTTGTAGCAATTGTCGCTGCAGAGTGACGAATTGCACGTGGGTTTGTGCGTCCAATTCGGGGTGTAGAGTTGACTTAAGTCTTGGCTCGCATCACCTTTTGAATTAGGCCATCAACTTGTCGCGTGATGAGGCCGTAAAGCCAAGCCTACAAGTCAGGTTCCAAACACATCTAAAAATCAGGCATATTCTGTGTTTGGGCGAGGGGCCGTGGGCCTTCTTTGTCCATGCATCGAAAGAAATGCAGAAGACAGGCATGATGTGTGTTATCGGTCTGTACATTGTTCTAGGCATGCTTATTTTCACTGGGTGTGGTGGAAAGCCTGTCAAATTTGAAGGGATCGTAGAGGACGAGGCATCGGCCGATCGCTGCATAGACCTGCTCCCAGCTCTCTATGTAAGGGGTGGTGTAATGAAGCTGTAGGCGCGTCTCGAAAACCTACAGAGGTTTTCAAGGGAACGGGGCAGACGACGCACCGACCCGCTGCCAGATTGACTTGTTCTGAGTTCCGCGTGTCAGAATGAAGCTACAGCAGGCGCGCAGTACAAACACCAATAATCAATCGGTCTAGCTCCATAGTCATAAGTCCACTGATCTATTGGATCCCTGAACAGAGGCCGGATTAGACAGTGCTAAGTTTGATAGGAATCAGTAGTTTGACGGCAAACTGTCATGACAGGTGAGCCTGTAGCAGGAGGCGAAGTGTCAAGCATGGGCTTATCTGGCTGATATGGCCTGGTCTGCAGCTCTTGACTGTAGCCATCAGCGCTCTTTTCGCCATCCGCGACTAGACTAATGGGAGTCGTTCTCGGCAGGTGGGTTGCTTGGCATCCATGATTAACGGAATGACTAGGGGCGGACGGTGGCGTTCGGTAGCGCTGCAGTTCTGCGATTCGTTTCGACGAAGGCATGTTGACGAAATATCAACGCATCTATATCTCCATTCTCCTGACTTTTCTCCGAGGAAATAAGCCACTAGTACTGCCCTATGTATGTGCATAATGTTCCTCGTAAATGCGCTTAACTTGCGTAAGTCTGCTAGCCTGGGTGAAACTGCCCGACACTCGTCATGGAGGGGACAGCAGAGCCACAGGTGGTCTTACTACGCTTAAAGCCCCGGTCCAATGCTCAGGGACATGGCGCTTCAGGCCTGGCAAAGCTTAAGGCGAGTTCCGCCGGCGCACGTCCCGTGTCCGTCGCCCCGCTCGCGTCGGCGCCCGCCGGCGCCTCCCCCGCGTCAGCACCGACTCCCCCCTCCGTGGTCGCTTTTTGTTCGGGCGTCGCGTCGCGCAGGGGACGGGGAGTTCGACGCGCGTCGACGGACATTGATCAGGGTCGACGCGGCCGGCCGACGGCTGCCCTGGCTATAAATAGACCCCGACGGGCGGCCGCTGCCAGGACGGGCGCGCCGGTATTTTAGGGCCGCGCGGCCCGGCCCGGCCCGGCCCAGGCCAGGGTGGGGTGGGGCGGGGCGGGCTCGGCGAGGTCGGTACCCGGAGAGGGGCCGACGCCTAGTGAACGGCGCAGCTGCATCCGGCGACGCTGCGCGGAAGCTGCGACTGCGATTTTGACCACGTCGGGACCGTGCTGCGCTGGCTCAGTTGCTGTTTGCGGCGGTTGAACATAGTTCGCGAGGCGGAAACGTGACCCGAGATCGAATATCGTGTTTTCGGCAAGGTATCTGTTAGCCACCAATTGTCCAGACCGAGAACACGTGGTAATGCTCCTGTGTCAGAAACACGGGTACGGTGTCGTTTCAAATGACTAGCTATCATGGCGGGTGTGATAATGACTGGCGGCTATGGGTCGTGGTAAATGGTCGGAGTCCCACGATCTGCTCGTGTTTCCACATCCGGACAGGCTGGCCCGGGATAGTGTCAGTGTAGCGGCGTACGGCTTGAGGGTATCGCGTTACCCGGGTGCCATTGCGATGAGAGGTGTGGGTGTAATGTCAATAGCGGGGTGCCGCTCTCAGCTTGCTTCGGCTCCGAGCAGTACAATACATCACCCTGTTCGCTGCAGCAGGCTTACACACCTCATTTGTTACCATCGCAGTCGTGCGTGTAGGTGACACTTTTTACCTTTCCCATCCAGAATAACATCGTCATAGCCAGCCAGGCCCTCCATCTCACAGCTGCTCCTGATCCGTCCCTGACAGCGTCCAGGACGGCGCCGACCGAAGCCGCCCATCCTTTCCCGTGCGCTGGCGCCGCCACTGCGTCTCGAGCTGCCGGCGGACCATTCATCGCCGGCAGCCGCCATCTTGTATTTGCCCTCTCGCGTTATCGTTGCACACAGCGTGCTATCGTCGCGTGCTCCACTTGTGACGGCGCGGCAAACACCGGCCGCCGCGTGTGTGCAGGGCGCCCGCCGTCCGGGCCGACGGGGTGGGGCAGCCTTGGAGGCGGCGGCCGCCGCCGCCGCCGCCGGTCTCGTTGATTCACGGCCGCCGACATTTGCTGGGTGACGTCAGGCGCGGCTCGTCCGGCGGACAGCCGCCCGCTGGGCAAACGGACGGCGCCCGGCTGAGCCGCCCGCCCCCACCCGCTCCCCTCCAGGCTGCGGAGCCGTGGGGGAGTTCGCGGGATGTTTGGGGGGGGGGGGGGCGGGGGGCTAGTCCTGCGATGGTCCTCGTTGACCGAGCTCTGTTTCGGGTAACGGATCGCAGTTATCTTCAATAACAGCGGGCTGAGGGGGCGCTGAAGGACCGAACCAGCCACCGATAGAATGCGCTAGAAAATGGAGGCTTATCGCATTGCACCCGCTTTGTATCTGCTGGTAACCCGTTTGGCTGTTTGGCTGTCGACAATTTGGAGCGGGATTCCTTCTTATCCCGTGCGATGGCAGGGGGCGCAGCGCTGTTTTCGATACGCCAAGTCGTAGGCGGCAATGCCTAGGAGTAAACTGAAGTTCTCCCAAGTGGCGGGGGTGGAGCATAGCCGTTTTTTCTGCTTTCTGGTTACCGCGCTTATGACCAATGTTTTACATTTTCGGAATGCTTGGGGTTTAGCCCCCTGCTCTACCCGCTAGCTGTCATGCCCCGGGCTACACCCCTGCTTATTCTTGACGTACTGCCCTGAGGAAGCTATGGCTGTAGCCGGCTTGTGTAGTCACCACTAATGGGGCTCCTGGCAGTAGCTGCGCATATTTCCGTCGGGCGCTGCCCGTCCCAGTGGCCTATTTTATCCACCTGTGACGGGCGCGGAGCCCCGCTGTCGGCTGTGTTGACCTCCCCGAATCGACACGGGCGCGGCCGGCAGCCGCCGGGGAACGCCGCCACCTGTGTGCCGTAAACGGGACTGGGACTGGGACGGGCGGCGTTATCGCGCCTGTGTGCCGACGAACAGCCCGTTCCTGGCCCGGGCACCGCTACCTTCCGCCCTGCCCCCTCCCCTCCCCCTCCGCCTCGTCGACCGGCTCTGGGTCACACTCGCTGGCGTGCGGTAGCGGCTGTTCAGAGGTGGTCTGGGCATGACCAAAATGGAGGCTTGTTTGGGTCACATGTGTGGGGTCACATGGGGTCACATGTGTGACCCCAGCCGTCTGTCATGGACGTGGCCGTTTTGTCGTCTGAATTGACTGCAGTCAGATATTCGGAAGTCTCAGAATTTCACTTACGCGATTCGCGGGCTGGGCAGGGGCCGTCCGGTGTCCAGCCCACCTGGCCAAGTGGGTCATCATATGTGTAGTTACAGCGACATGGACGTGGGGTAACAAACTGCTGTCGTATTGTGGCCCCAGGACACCGCCGCCAGGAGCCCATTAGCAGCTCAAAATCGAAACTCCGTTTGGACAGCTCCACACATTTGATTTGTGCGGAACGTCCAAATATTTTTAACGGATATGCGATGATCAAACAGATCACGCAAGGTATTCAGCTAGAAGGCCGCAACAGAAGCTGAGGATGTGCACAAAGTGACGTCGGGCTGTCAGGATCCAAGTCCGTGTTGCGCGGTTTTTGCGTTTTATCCTTGAGTGTTGGTCTTGCTTCACTGCTGGGGAAACTCGTCTCGGGCCATGAGACCAGGCTTTTCCCAGGTTTTCGAAAGTCACCACCTGGATGTTTAAGCCAGAAATTGAGTGGAAATACGGAAACTACTACAGCCAGCACGTTTGGTTCCCCGTTTTGGTTACAGTTCCCCGTTTAGCATCGCCCATGTGGGCTCGTTAAACGTACCGGTTACTCAACGACCAAATGCAGCTAATGCTTGGACAGCTTTCCCTTGGCCTCGAAAGCTTATCGCCTAAAAAGTGTCCTCCAGCGCAACAGACTTCGAAGGCCGACCTACGACAGTACCTCGTCGTCCGCTCACTTCGAAGGCGACCTCCGATTCGTTTTGTTTGTGTCCCTGCACCCTTTGCCCCGCGCCGCTTTCGCCACCGGTGTCAGACGGTCGCCCGGGCCAGCTGGCAGTCGGGTCCCGTCCTCTGCCCGCCGCTATCGGTCCGTCCCGCCCGGCGTCCGCCCCCCCCCCCCCCCCTCCGCGGCCCTCTCAGCTGTGACCTGTGTACGTACGAGCCCGCCCGCGGTCGGCGGGCGGCAGCGGCGGCCGGTCGGGCGCGCGGCGGGGCGTCGCCCCGCTCGGCCGCCGGGGAGGGGCCACTTCCCATCCGGGCGTCGAGATCACCGGAAGTGAGCGGACGTGGCGTGGCGTGGCGGGGCGCGGCGCGACCGGGCCGTTACGGGACGCGCCGCCGACCCGGGCGCAGCGCACGCGCTCCGCCAGCCGGGCTTCCGGAGCTGCCGCCGCCGGCCGGCCGGACGACCGGACGGACGGCGCCGGCCGGCGACGGGGCGGGGCAGGCCACAACGCGCCGGCGGGCCCAACGAGGAACGGCAGGGCGGCTTGACACGTTGGAACGCCAACCCGACCTTTGGGAGAAATGACAGCTCTGCGTAGGGGTACGGAACAATGCGCGTGGCAGGCATGGGGTTGCGTGCTGCGGTTTGGATCAGACTGCGCACCCGAACTGAGTGCTCGTGTTTCTTTCGTCCCTGCGCGGTGGCGTCAGCCGGGCCTTGTCGAAGCGGACGGCACTGTCGTGACGCGAACTGCGGGAAGCTGACTTCCTGAGACGGTGTGGGGCACCGTAGGGTACTCCCCGCTGACCGCCACGGGACGTTTCACTGCTTCTCCTGGTTTTCACCGTCGAGTGGCCCGCCGTGATTGTGATTCACTGTCGAGTGAGTCGCCGTGATTGTGATTCACTGTCGAGTGAGTCGCCGTGATTGTGGTTCACTGTCGAGTGGCCCGCCGTGATTGTGATTCACTGTCGAGTGAGTCGCCGTGATTAGTGCGCCCCGTGAACACCGTTGCGCAGACCCTGGCCTGCTGCTGCCTATACGCATGCACACACATCTTGTGACTCGGCGAAGATGACAGCATCCTGGGCGTTGGTTGCCAAGGTCTGGATATCTTTCTACCACCGTCCGGAAAAGATGTGCAAGATTGCACATATACTGTTATCGCGTAACGTTTCGTTAAATCCATCAACATCAGACATGCAGAACAGGTGCAATAACGGAATATAATGCATTCGGAGGCGTCTCGGATCGGTAGCAAGTACACGTTTGTTTTCCGGTGACCTCAAGTAGGTTTCATTGAAATTGGCTTAAATGTGTGCAAGATAAGGCGCTTCAAGTGCGGAAATGCCTCTTAAAGAAACGAGCAAAATTTCTCATCTTCAATATAGCTATGGCAACGATTAAGGTTGCTTGATTTCGGTTACTTGTCTACAAAAGCCCAGTTGTATATCTGGTCTGATCATGATGAGCTACTTAGCACGGGATACATCCGCCCTCAAGGCTACCGATATCAGGTGTAAGTTCTGATGCCCTCTCGGCACATGTGTGCGCCGCAGTAACTCGCCCTATGTTGGCGAGTTGTTGCCACACAACACAGCATTGTCTCGCCGCATCACAGTACACCTGCAAAATGGTGCTCCAGAAAGACTCAGCAGTAACGCATAGCTCACGGACCACCCGGAACATCATGGTCGATAACACCACCATCACAGCCATGTGCACTGACAGAAAGAAGCTTTTGACTGGAAGCCGCGTGAAGCAGACACAGTGATTCCAACAGTAACCGGCAAGTGGGCGTCAGATGTACCTGGTCTATATGTGAGGGGAGGCTCTTGCACGCAGACAGTGGGGCGTGAATGCGAAGACGTCGCTCCGGAAATTTGCGGATGGCTTTGACATCCAGCCCGTATGCGTATCATTGCATGAGTGAGTACTTTTACACACTGTGTACGTTGATCGTTGTCACAGCTACATTGAATATATGAAACGATGCTTCGTTTCTTTACGGGCCCACTTGGTACCTACACCGACTGACCTTTGCACGCATTTCAGAAATTCCAATGAAACACGTTTTACGTCGCTGGAAAATATAGATGACTTCGCCGTTGATCCGAGATACTGTCGAATGTATTATTTTGTTATTGTGCGTGTTTTGTACGTGTGATGGCGTTGATGGTTTTAACGAAAGGCGACGTGCTTACGGCAGGGGCACAATCCTACACAAGTCTTCGAATGATGGTAAAAAGCTTATCCAGAGCCCAGAAGTAGAAGGGCTCGGTAAGAAGCAAACAAGTGCCCAGTATGGTGTCATCTGTAACGTTACATGCTTTGGGTCAACCTCGCTGCCGGCAGTCACCAATAAAGAATATCGGGATATAAGTGGAATGATGACATATATATATATATATATATATATATATATATATTCTGTTGGCTCGCTGTAATTAACAACACATATGTGTGTCATGTTAGATGCTAGACGCAAAATCTCGTGATGTGCAAATTCTGCTTTTTATTGATGTTTGGTTGGGTTGCAGAAAAGTTGTCCTTTTCACGCTGTCAGGAATAAGTGAGAAACAAATATTTGTGTTGTTGCAAGATTATTTGCTGTCTGGCTCACCCGCTCGGAGTTCATTTCGTCGCAAGATTGGGCAGAGGCCTACCCTTCCCCCCCCCCCTGCGGAGACAGAGATGCTGGGAAATAGCTGGTGATAGCTCGAGCGATGATTTTGCTTTTGATGGGCTATCCGGGAGCGTGCGCTGAAGCAGACGGCACAAAATGAAGCTTTCGTATTTGGCTTACATTTGAATGAACACGAAACACTTCTGTGCTAGCTTTTAAGTTAAAACCCTTTTTCTTGTGATTTCTACCGGGCACCCTAAATTGTGTGCATCAAAAAGGTTAGGGAACCCTGAATTCCCCTCCGCCCGGGTACCCTCCCATGTGTTTGCAGTATGTGTGGGGCTGTCCGCGCTGCCGTTCGCCACCGCCCACACCCGCACAGTCAGCCGCCCCCGCGGCGGGCTGAACTCCGCGGCCCTGCGGCGGGCCGGGGCGGCATTCCTGACCGTTGCGGTCCATATTCATCCGAGCTGGCGGCGGCTGGACACGTCAGCGGTGCGACCGGACGCCACGCGGGCAGGCCCGAAGGCCGTAGTCAGCTGACATCCGAGCCGGGCCCTGACAGGCTCCGCTCTGTCGCGGCACCCGGCGAGCTGCGCCGAAGGGCCGTACTGCGGCGGAGCTTCGCCAAAGGGCCGTACTGCGGCGGAGCTTCGCCGCAGGGTACTGGCTGTGCCGCGCGATGTGGAGACAGTGTGTCAGTTGACGCGGGTTTGAGATCTTCTGCCCTGTCGGCAGGGACGCACGCGAGAGAGGGTCGCACAGGTCCGTGCGCTGCCTCTACAAGGGTAGGGTCCGCGGTCATTTGGGGGAGATCACAATGCAGGGGTTGCCCGAAGGCGGCTTAGTTTAATATTGCTCACAAATAGGGGCGCAATTAAGGGGCTGCCGGGACCGGGAGCCTAACATAGGCCTTGTGGTCACTGTATCGGGACATAAGTACGCCAACGTAACTGGGAACGCCTCAAAACAATCCCGGCTGCACACCCGCTCACTGCAGCGCACCGTAACGACAGAGGGATTGCACATGGGAGCCCATGAAGCAAGACGCATGGTACGGTATTCGCTTAATATCTGCATGGCCTGAAAAATGTATACTGGATTGCACAAGTCCGAGAAAGAGGTTACGGTAATCTGCAGCTGCTGCTCGCTATGGCAGGCCCTATGAAGCCATCAGTCGGACTCCCCATGAAAGACCATGTGCCCCCCGCCCCCTCAGAAGCTGGCTTCCTCCCTACGGAAATCCTGTATGTGTGCCCGCGTTCGGTGGCGAATATTTAGTGTCATGGCGGCAGTACATATTCGTGCGTTACACTTTTGGGTGACGAAAGGCTCGGGCTCCTCTTTTAAGCAGGGCGCAAGGCCCAAATGTGTTGTCAGCACGCGAAAATGTTCTTTTTTGTAAGTCCTTCCTTGATTTGGATATTGTATTGCTCATTTAACGTGACGCGGCATGTTTGGTTATAAGGAGAAATACGAACGCCGCTGGTGCCGGCGAAACATTTACCGTGTCCCAACGAGATTTGCTGCTGTGCTTGAACATGGCTGGTGCGACCCAAAGTCACTCGTATCAAAGCGTTTGCTATTTATCGGTGTTGACTGTACAGGACAAAGCCTTTGCGTCAGCCTTTTGTGTGCGCTTTATCACAATGTGTATTGGCGTCAATCGGCGTAATGGGTTTGTTTGCGTTTCAAGCTGGGTTGAAAAGCCGATCGCTTCGGGCTCGAGACCCATTACGTGTCACTGTTTGCCACAGCCAGCAGCTGACAAATGGACAGATATAGATTTTCAACATGACACAATAGGGTCGCGCCTTTGACATCGCCGTAGGCAACATTATCGATTGAAGTTAAGCTCCTTTATTTGGATAGTGGGTCGATTGTAAACTCAGCAGTTTTTCCTTGGCATGATGCCTGAGCCCCAAACTTCCGTGCACTTTGTTTGCAGCACCTTCAATGACGGCAATGCAATTGTGATCGCGTTCTTTCCATTGGGCGGTTGACTTATCATTGCTCGTTTCAGTTTATTGGTCTTCGCTTTGCACCTCTGCTTTAGCTTTCTGAGGGTATACGCCGTATACACGGCATGCGTTACAGTCCAGTTATGTGCTCACGATGACTTCTCATTGCACCCCATGGCATAGTATTGCTGATCATGACGCGCAATCGGTGTTCTGTCCACTGTGAACTCAATCGAGCCACGACTCGCCCGCCTAAAGATGTTGCGAGCACCGCATTCTCATCATCTTGGACGGAGTGCTCAAGTACGTACGCTGTCACACGGTTGTCTGGGCCCTTCTTTCCGAGGATGCTAACCCGTGAGACGGCCCTGTGAGCCCACCCCTCCGGCGTCGCCTCAGAGCTCTCTCCGATCCGCCCACAGAGCCGCGCCGCCTCACCATGGGGCGTAAGAAGCCGTCAGCGACGGCGGCGGCGGCGTCGCCGCGCGCGGCCGCCGTGCGCAAGTCACCGCTGCGAGCCGCCCTGAAGCGGTCGCCGGTCAACAAGCTGCTGGCGGCGCGGCAGGCCGGCCAGGCGCCCGCGCGCGGCCGCAAGGGCGCCGCCGCGCCGCCGCCGGCCTCGCCGCCATCGACCGAGGAGCGCGACCGCTTTAAGACGGCCAGCCTGCTACTCTCGATGAAGGAGAAGGCGAGCGCGTCGCTGTGGCCGCCCGAGTCGGCGACGGCGGCGCCGGCCGGCGAGGGCGCCCACCTCTCATCGGCCGACTACCAGCCGGGCCTGAGCGAGCTGGTGCCGCAGCGGCGCGCCGCCTCGCCGACGCGCGGCCCAGCCGGCGAGGACCTGCTCGACCTCGACCAGCAGGCGTTCGGCTCGCCGGCCGGCCGGCCGTCGGACGGCGCCGCCACCGACCTCACCGTGGCCGAGCTGCTGCACCCCGGCGGGCGCGGCCCGGCCGCCGGCAAGGCGCCCGCCAAGCGGCACGAGTGCCCCATGTGCGAGAAAGGTGATGGGCTCGCGCAGCGACCTGGTCAAGCACGTGCGCATCCACACGGGCGAGAAGCCCTACCAGTGCTGCTACTGCCCGGCGCGTTTCACGCAGCTGGGCAGCCTGCGCGCGCACGAGACCCGCCACACGGGCATCAAGCCGTTCAAGTGCGACATCTGCTCGCGCGCCTTCAGCATCAAGGAGCGGCTCAAGGTGCACAACCGCATCCACACGGGCGAGAAGCCGTTCCACTGCGACCTCTGTGAGAAGGCGTTCGCGCGCGGCAGCCAGCTGATACAGCACAAGCGCACGCACACGGGCGACAAGCCCTACACCTGCTCCTACTGCGGCATGAAGTTCGCCTTCGCCACCAACCTCAAGCTGCACGAGAAGAAGCACTCGGGCATCAAGGACTTCGAGTGTCCGCGCTGCTACAAGGGCTTCGTGCGCCAGGACGCGCTCAAGAAGCACATCCAGTCGTACCACGAGAACGAGCGGCCGATGCGCTGTCCGATCTGCGACAAGAGCTTCAAGGGCCACCTGGGCACGCACCTGCGCGTGCACACGCAGGAGAAGCCGTACGTGTGTGCCGTGTGCGACTCGGCCTTCGCCCAGAACTCGCAGCTGACGGTGCACATGCGCGTGCACACAGGCGTCAAGCCATACGTCTGTCAGGTGAGGGGTGCCGCCGGCGCCCGCAGCCGGGGGCCGTGTTATCGGCGGCGGAGGGCCGGGGATTATGGGAAAGGGAGCCGGATATTAGGTGTCGCTAATCCTCGGTGGTGCTGTGGTGCGCCCATGCGTTCTGCTTTGCTGTACTTCGACGTGTAATAGAGACTTAAACCATGTGCTTCGGGATACGCTAGCTAATAGCACTGCACGCTGAGATGGAGGCCGTGCCTGCTTCTCCCAAGGCTATCAGCAGCGGCGATAGGCGGCAGGACGGTGGAACGGGCCGTCCGCCCGCCGGCATGTCCGGCACGTCTGCGGTCGCCGTCCTGCCGGTGGCCTGCGTGACCTTGGCTGACCTAGCGCTGCCGGTGTGGCGCAGGTGTGTCCGCAGAAGTTCGCCCACTCCACCGCCCTGAAGGTGCACCTGCGCCAACACACGGGCGAGAAGCCCTACCGGTGTCCGCTCTGCAACCACTTCTTCAACCAGCTGCCGCATCTCAAGAAGCACCTGCGCAGCATCCACAAGCGCGAGGAGCCGTACATGTGCGGCGCCTGCAGGGAGTTCTTCAAGGTAAGAGCGGCTGACGGAGACACTGCTTCAGGAATGCCAAGCGCGTCGCCACGCAGCCTTTTATGGAGCGCTGGCGACTACAGTGGCCACATTGGCGCTCAGGGCCGTGACGCAACCCCCGGCTCCTGCGGCTGTCCGCCAGGGACTACAGTAGCCATAGTGGCGCTCAGGGCCGTGACGCAACCTCCCGGCTCCTGCGACTGTCTGTCAGAGCGCCTGGGACTACAGTAGCCATAGTGGCGCTCAGGGCCGTGACGCAACCTCCCGGCTCCTGCGGCTGTCGGTCTGCAGGGGCCTCCCGACGGTCGTTGATGGGAGGTATACTGTTTTGGATGCGGCGTTTCGACATTCATTTACTACGTCCCGTCAAGCCATTTGCTGAAGGGGTTGGGAGAGGCTTTTCCATCACGGATACTAGGAAGCATCCATTGCGTAAAGGGGATTTCGCGAAAGCGTATGTCCCGCGTTCTGACCGGTACGGAACGACCCGTACCACTTTGCCCATGCCAGGCCCATTTCCCGCGTGCAATGCTCAGTGAGCGTGTCTCGGATTGCTGCTGGCAATAGTTTGCTTCGCACTACACGATGCGTTCCCTGAAACGTCGTCGATGTTTTTGACTGGCTAAGACTGAGTGCTCTTGGTCCTACTCTGGCGCCACCTACTTTTTCGACGTGGGAGTACGTTTGCAGACATAAGAGTGAGTGCACGTTGGCTGGTTTTAATGCTGTAAAAACACACACTGCTGTTGTGTACCCCGTGACCACGACTCGCGTCGTCCACCCCTGCTCGTGTGATCGCACCTTTGACATGTGCTCCTAATATCATCATCACACCTGTTACACTGTGACACGTGCCCCGCGCCCTCATCACGTCACGCGACCTTACGACCGGTGCGCCGCGGCCGCAGACCAAGGCGGAGCGAGAGCGGCACGTGGAGACGGACCACCCGGAGTACCAGGCGAGCGGCGGCGGCGGCGGCCCCGAGTTCGGCAAGGTGGACAGCTACCGCACCGAGATCCTGGAGCCGGAGACGCTGCCCGAGATCATCACGCGGGGCGGCATGGCCGTGTCCAAGCTGCGCGGCTACCTGGCCATCCTGATGAAGAAGATCAGCACCAGCGCCCGTTTGCTCAAGTTCGGCTTTGGCCGGCGGCTCATCGACGACGTAAGGCCGGTGGAGGCGGGTAGGGCTGGCGGGAGGCAAGGAGGGCTGTTGGGACTCAGGAAGGGCTGGCGGAGAGGGCTGGTGGGAGTCGGGGAGGAGAGGGCTGGCAGAGGTGGGGTGGGGGAGGCGGGTAGGCTGGCGGGAGGCAGGGATGGGAGGCCGGCGGAGGTGGAAAGGGCTGTATGGAACTCAGTCAGGGTGATGCTGGCAGCTGAATGAATGGGGCTGCGACGTTGCTTTGGCCAGACTGGCGCTAGCCGAGCCGGACTGTGACGCTGCGCACGGCGTTGCAGGTGCTCAAGGACTCGCTGGAGACAGGCGGCAAGACGCCGTTCCGCGAGGGCGCCAACGAGGTGGAGATCCTGCGCGCCAACGTGCAGCTGCTGCTCGACTGGACCATCCCGCGAGACTACATGGAGCAGTACCGCAAGGAGCGCAAGACCGTCGAGGAGATTCTGGAGGAGCTGGCTTCGTAGGCTAACGACAGGGCTCCGCTGCTGCCGCTGCCGCTGCCGCAGAACCTCGCCGCTGTCGCCGCTGCACGTCTTGAGGGACGGTACGGCTGAGTGCTGTGTATGGGGGGGGGGGGGGGAGGGGTTTGCATTGCTGGCGGCGGAGGGAGGGCGACTGGGCGAGGCCAGGCGACTGACGTCCGAGCAGAGCTCCACTGGTGGCACCTCCGCCGCTCGTAGTGACAGGGCCGCGCCGAGGGTGTGAGGCGAAGTCGGCCGAGCTGGGCCGGGGACGCAGAGGTCGCTGCCGCCGCGCGGAAGGCTCGGGAGACGAGACGGCCGCCGGCGCCACCGGGGGGGGGGGGGGGAGGGCGACCCGGAGGCGGGCGTGGGAACGGGGCGTGGAGCTGAGGCAGCCTCGAAGCCGCCCGGTCTTGGGGTCGTGGTCTGTTCTGTCGACAACGCATCTGGGACCCCGAGCTTTTGGACTGGGGGCATGGTCCCCAACGGCAGATCTGGGCTCGAACCTTGGATCTGGAGGCATCGAGTCCCCCGAACGCAGTCTGGGGCTCGAGGGTCCCCGACCGTTGGATCTGGGAGGCATCGAGTCCCCCGACCGCAGATCTGGGGCTCGAGGGTCCCCGACCGTGGGGAATATGGAGGACTCGATACCCACGAACGCATATCTGTGTGGGCGTCGAGGGATCCCGGCCCGGATTGGGAAATCTGGGAGGCATCGAGTCCCCCGAACTGACAGATCTCGGCTACACCAGTCATCGCGTCCGCTTAGGCGTTTGGCTTCAGAAACTTGCGCTAGAGCCATCACCGTGCCATGTTTTTAGCATAGAACTTCGCCCGGACTATGTTGTACGTCGGCGTTAGGCGAGTGTATAGTTGCGCGCTGGCATCAATGATATCGCGTTATGTAGCAGCCTGCCATGGCGACAGGCCACTAGGACGACAGCCCACCGAGAGTGATGATGGCCACCAGCTGGGACGGCGTTCGTGAAGTCGTTTTCAGTTGGTTCATGATTTGTCCGACGATGCTCCGGCAGGATCTTTTGACGTTTTAGCTAAAGCCAAGCAAACACGGTGCGATCTGTCGTACGGTCGGAGAGAGCCGGACCACCATTTCAGAGCTTGTATCTGGTCATGTACACACTCCCATGAGGGAGGAACAGACGTGTGTGTGTGGTGTGTTGGCTTTGCAGCGCGTGCGGTGTGTGGAGTGCGGTTCTAGTCCCGACTTGTGCCTCCTGGCACGGCCGTCTCTCGCCCCGCGACGGCCAACAAAGTCCACCCGGGCGACGAGTTCTGCCCTAGTCACTCGCGTACAGGTGCTGCCGCCTGGCGTCCGCCAGGCGGCGGCACGGCTGCAGCGCGCGCACGCGGCGGCGGCCCCCAACCCCTGGCCCGCATTCTCGCCCCTATCTCGTGTCCAGGATCGGCTTTCCAGACCCGTCCACAGAAAATCGGGAATGGGATCGCCATTGAGCTAGGGGGTACTTGTCCCGGGAGTGGTCCGCTTCAACACGAGAAAGTATGCCGGTCACGCGTACGCCCGTCGCCATCCGACGGCGGCGCCATCTGGCCTTGCTTCGCGCCCGGACCGCTGAGGCGGTGGGAGCGCCACCGTCGGCGGGCGCCGCCGCCGCGGCCGCGCGCGGCCCCAGTTCGTATGGGAGCCGGGCTCCGGCGCGAGCGCCGGTCGGGATGAGTGGTTCGGATCCAGTCATTAGCGTAAGGAGCCGGACGGTCGGCATCCACTGCCCCCGGGCGGTGGGCGGAGCGGCAGCCGGACGAGGAGGCGTGCGCCGCCGCTGACCGTGGGTGTGTTTATAGGGAGAGGTTAACATGAGCTGCACATTCTCGGTGTACATTTGCGGCAGCGTCGGCAGCCGACTGGCTGTTTTTGAGGTGTGTGCTAGCTGTCACATAATCAGATGGGCCATTGATTTTCGCACTGATTGTCTGCACAATCATCGGTGTTGCATCGTCTTTACGTTCTTGACCTTGACATGTGCACGGACTCCCACATGGCGTACCGTGCATGCGTTTGTGAATGCAGCTGCCATATTTGCCGAGGAGGTGGGGACTGCACAACGTCCGTCTCCGCTGATGCGATGTAACCAGGGACTTGTACAGACCAGTGTCGGCACTCCACACGCAGTGGCGTCTCGCGCCAGCGTCCCGCTCGCGTCGTTCGTAGCGTGGTGTCGTGCCGTTTGACCGGGACTACGGCCAGTGAGTGAGTGTAGGACTTCCAATCCGGTGATTGTAGTTACCGAGCACGCCTTAATGGTTCGAACGCCGTCTTTCAGGGGCGCGTTTTCCACTTATCGCACATGCACTCTTCCTGTGCACTTGTATAGCCCGCTGAGGGAGTGTTTGTGGGTCTGCCAGCGGTGTATGGTGTTGGCTTGTGTGATTCTGGTGACAATGTACTTTGCCATGTCATATGTCAGCCTGAAATGTTCCAGTTCAGAAGCTTGCGTCGGTGCGAGCGAACGGTGTTCCAGCCCAGATGGGGGTTTGCGTGGGTTTTATTGTAGCGTGAGGGATCTGCGTCGCTAGATTCGTGATGTTTGAGATGCAGCCGCCAGCTGGCAGACGGACATGTTACGATGAGTCATCATTGTGACGCGACATTCGCAACAGTGTATGCGTCCACAGCTCCATCTAACCTTGTTTGTTTTGCAACTCAGCATGCATTTGTAAGCATTTTGACAAATCCCGCCAGTTTCTGCGCAGTGATCATCGTACAATCAATAATGTTTACGTATTGCGCAGTGGGTACTGTGCAGTCAGAATGGTTTCCTTGTTTCAGTTTTGGAGGTCGTATAAGTTAGGCCCCAAAGACCCCACAAAATACGAAATAATCGCTATTAGTTGGACGACCTTCGTGCACATTATCCAGAATGAGAAGATAGACTTTACCCATGTGGCGACGTTGTGTATGTCGTGGTGTATCCGTAAGCCTGTCGCACTCTAAGCATCGAACGCACCGCCTCACACCCTGAACTGGGTGTGACTTAGCACAGACGAGCGCACGCCTGCAGCACCAGCGCCTTTGGCAATACAATCTTCAAACGCCGTAATTGTTTCTGAGCACTCTGGCAGACGAAATACACTCCGGCAGACGAAATAGCTTGATATGACGTAAACAGAAATAGCATAATGCGGGCTGTTACGAGGCACCAGCAAGGAATCGATCGTATCATGTGGTAACGTGACTGAGCCAGCGCAGCAGCCCAGTCCCCAGCCGAAGACAGCCTGGACGTAAGGCTGGTCCATTCCAGTTCAGTTCGCAAGGGGTCCGTTCAGATCGAACAAAATTAGATGGCTAGGTGGTCGACTGAATAAGAGTGGCCTTGCTCCACTACGGACCGGGAAAACGAGATGCCATGCCAAACCATGGATAATCGGTGACTGGCTGTTCTAAGAGTCCCGTGGCGCAGGCGTGGTGTGCGCCGCCGCTGCGGCAGTGCATGAACGAGAAAAAAAAACGCCTGATCGAAATCACGTGTTTCCCCTCTGATCTCCTCTGGGGCCACTGATCCCGCGTGCCTCCAAAACGGCCAATGCGGCTCCATAACGAAATCCGGTTCCGCAGAATCCGACCACATGCATCCCCAGGCTCAAATAGCCGCCCTCGCCCGGCCGCGTGGGCTGGGCATGCGACGAAGGGCTCTGATTGGTGCACGGCATGTTCGGCCTCCGCGCATCCTGCCCAGGAACGCAGTAGGCCTGGGCGTAACCGGCACCGGGGTCAGTGAGGTCCGGGCCCGCAGACACGATGGGGAAGATTGGGCTATTTGTGTGTTTTAAACACATAGGACAACGTCAAAGCAGATTAGACCGCAGTAACCTTTAATGTGTGGTTACGCCCCTAGCTACAGGCACAAACAGCGACAGGTGCGAGATAACAGACAGGTACCGCCGGCGTGCCAGGATGAGCGAGTTTTTCGGACCATAACCCCATTCAGGCGATGGAGGTCGCGGTGCGGTGCAGATGAAGCTGTGAAGGTTGGCCATTTGGTGTTGATGAAACGCTTCTCGTAGGTGCGAGCCCATTCACGCAACTCTGTGCGAAGAGCTGTCCACAATGAACCACCAGTTTCTCCAATGCAGCGCCCTCAAGAGCTAACTGCCTAGACGATTGCTTTCTGTTTGCCTGCCTGTGGTGTGGGCATTCTAAGAAGATTCGTATAATTCAATATGCAGGCAATAGATCTCAATGGTCGAAGGACTTCTAGGGCACATGCTCTTGTATGAATGCATGTGCCGTGTTCGATTTTCGTAGAAAACATTTTGCACTTGGAAACTTCCCGCAGCATCAAAAATCTGTTGCAATGAGCGGTTCCCAAAGACGCCCATAGCATTTTAAGATGTTTACGTTTCCTATTTGTAATATGTGAAACCAACTTGCTGTGCACAGCCCAATCAAACACGACGTGGCACGTATGGGCGCACATAGAGCGCGTTCATATTCTTCAGGTCGTGGTGGATCTTACCACTTTGAGGCTAAGTTTCGGGAGAAGATGTGGCAAAATGAGAAAGTTGCCTGCTAGGTACCATCGAAATCAAGCACGACACTTAACCTCAAGGTTGGTTGTGGCCAGCCGGTTGCCAACGGCTAAGTCGGCTAGTCGGCAATTGGGCCAGCTTTTAGCTAAAGGCGAATTAAAAGCCTTTCGATTTGAGTGTGGTGAAGGAGTGAGAACTGTGTCGGCATTCAACTCTGTTGCGAAGTGGTGCACTCATACGGTTACGATGGGTGCAGCAAATTCAAGAACCAAGGGGAATTATTATGCCACGTCGGCGAAGCATAATATTGTTTCAGGAGTAAAGCTCATCGCACCATGTATGTATGCTGCATCTGTGGCTAACACCTTAAAGCATGATGTCAGCCTGAAGATCTCGGACCTATGTGCATGCATTAAATTGGTCCGTAAACGCGAGTAGGCGATATGCCATGAGTGGTGGAGCGTCGGCGCTCGCAACCCCATGTGGCGGTTTCGGAAACAGGTTAAGGTGCTCCTGACCTCATGGGAAGGGCCCATGTCCAATGTGAAGGGCTCCGAAGCGATCAAGAGTACCCCAGCCGAGTTA